CCATAGTTAGGTGCCTGGTTGGTAGTTTTGTGTGCTACACGCATTGCGCCCATGTGGTGTGTATTTTTGTGGGTCAGGTGTGGTGATGGTTTTGTGCTTACCCTCTGGTAAAATCAGGCGCCCCTGATCTGGCCCACCCATTTTTTCTTAGGCCCGGCCTAAAATCAATTTCTGGCTACGCCACTGATTCAGACTAGTTAAAAGGTTACTTAATTCATCTGAATGCTGATTAATAAGTTCCTGTAGACCAATTAAAGTAGCTCTCAGGTCTACTAGTAATAATCTGAACGTTGAGAATGGAAAAGAAGTTCATCAGAACCCTGTGGATTGCCTTATTTGGTTCGTTCTGTCATAATAAATGTAATTAGGCTTCACAGAGTTAAAAAATGCTTCAACCAAGACAGATCACTCACTCACAGGACACTTTTTGCTGTAGTGAAATATTTAATGAACCACTTGATGAATTTTAATGAATCTTTTAAAAGTTAATCACTACTGTACAGTGCATTTCTAAAGTATCTTTTTTGGAAAACATTTTTTGCCTTACAGCCTGAAATTTATTTGGATTTGTATTTTTGATTAAAAGCAAGCCTTACTTTAAATTTTGCTTTAAATATTTAGCATTATAAAAGTCAACTTGTTATTATGTATTCGGCCTCGCAAAGAAGCTCACAACATTCCTTTTAGAATCCACTAAATTATACAACATTTCCCTTCAACATTTTACTGAAGTCATTGTTTTCTCAACAACAGAAACACTGTAACCAGCCTACACAATGTCATGAAACAGGAGATTCATCATATTTGTGTTAGCATTTTATTCATGTAATAAGACCTTAGCATCACTTCAGTGAGCACCTGTAGCTGTAATACATGTTTGCATCAGTCACAGGGAGGGAGGGGGACATTCACATTTACAAGTCAGTCTGGCATTATTAGATCAAATGTTGATGCTTACTTAACAAACGAGAGTGAAGCAAMAAAATCAGTGAGAAACTGTGTTAAATCTGTTGTGGTTCTTTCAAAAGACATGATAGTTATCAAAATATGTATTTTTTTCTGTTTTTGATTATATTTTTGTGTATGTGCATCATCTGTGATAAAAAAAATAACCACTAAATACACATCATTCACAATCAAATGTCAACCTCTATGGGGCGCTAAGTGTAAAATAAAATGTTAAAACAGGTCAATAACACATTTTCATTGTTTAACTCACTTTCTAAGTGTAAAATCCTAGTTGACTAACATTTTATTGTTATTTACCAAACTGTTCTTACATTTTGCACATTTTTATTAAATGCTAAATTTAAATGTTAAAAGTTATGTCTAAATGTTGAATTCTAACTGCAAATAAATCTAAATGTAAATGTGGTTAAATGTTAAAGTTTACATTTAACTATTTCAAAATTACAGTGTTTTCTTTTGGGATGTGGCTTATTGTTACCTTATCATCCTGCAACAAAAGCAAGTGCTAATGCTGCTAACGCTGCTAATGTGCTGATGCCCTGCTAACGCGGTGCTAACACTGCCCTACAAGACATCGAACTTGCAGTTGCACTTCAAACAGCCAGACCACAGGTACCATCTATGTTGTTTTCAACGAATCTTCAACAGCGCTAGAGATTGCTTTTGTCGCAGGATGATGATGTCACAACAAAAGCCAGGCTCCAACAGAAAAGACTGCATTCAATTCCAACATTTTTAAATGTAGGCTTTCTCATTTAACTGCAACATTTAAGATTTACCTTTTATATTCAGATTTATACATTTACATTTAGGATTTACAGTTAACATTCAGTTAAAATGAGCAAAATGTAAGAACAGTCAGCTAAATAACAATATTTTTTAAAATTGGATTTTACACAGAGAAAGTGAGCTAAATAATAAAAAAAAGTTACATTTTTTAACCTTTTATTTTACACTTTATGCCCCATATACCATGTAATTTGCAATAAATGAGTGAAATAAGCAGGTTCATGTTTTGTTGCCAAAGGTCACAAGTTGATGACATTCAAACATTGATGAGTACTCCTCAGACAGTCTTGGTACGCAACAGATATTGAGACAGTAAAATATTTCCTGGTTGTAAACAGTGTCAGAGGGAACAATGGAGTCAAAGACAGAAGGGTTAAAAGCAGAAAAGGTAAAGGTCTTCCTGCTTCTACTGAAAAGAAACTAAAGGCTGTGAGGAAGAGTCAACAGATCCAGAATAACTCTGGGGAGGAAATCAAGCTGTGTAGAGTGACAAAGGAAAAATGAAAGCTTAGATCATACGCAAAGGAGCTGTGCCGAAACATTCTGAACTACTCTTCATGTTACAAACAACGAGAACTTTTGCTGTTTTATAACACAATTTTTTACAAAAACCCTGATGATTCAGAGTTACATTCACCTTCAATCATTTAATGATGTTGAAACTGTTAGAAGCATAAAAAAAATCAAACCAAAAAAWCTTGCATATTAGCAAAAATTGCATATTTTGACAACTATTTTGGCTTTCAAATAGTGCAGTAACAGTCAGTGGGTAGGACTGAATGAATGAATGAATAAATGAATAAATAAATAAATAAATAAATAAATAAATAAATAAATAAATCTTTGTAAATTCCTTGGAATGTTTTTATCGCTTGCCACCAAAATGCAAAAATGGACAGTTATATTTTTGCCTGACCCGTGCATGTAATCATGTGCCTGTCTGTTAGCAAAATATCTCATAGATAGATTTCTAATTTATTGATCCAAGAAGAAATTTTCAAATATTAACTTCTGGACTAATTTTAACAAAACCTGCAGCAAGTAATTGGTGGACGTAGACCTACAACTAATTACGTTTTAGAGTCATCCTGATTCTAGACCACCAACTTCACCAAGGTGACCTTAAAATTTAAATTTAAAATAAATGGCTGGAAATTAGAAAAAAATCTAGATATTTGGACCTAGATGACAGTTAGTCCCAACCCATGCTCTGAGACCTAACAGATCATGTGAGACCTCTTGCACATAAGCATGAGATTGTGCCTAACCCTTATTTTCAACCTTTGACCAAAATGACAACAGCTGTGTTCTCTCTTATTGTAAGATGATTTCAGTCTAAAACTCTGGTGAGAAAGGCGGCAGGCGATATACATCCCTTCAAGAAATGCTTGGCCTTGAATTCTGATTTTGATGCCAAATCAGAAACACATTTTAAAAAGTTTGTTTTTGAAGACAGGAAAAGGTTCAGATTTACTTCAGTTCTGTTCAAATGTTAGAGCAGAGTTCTGACAGTCTGTTGCTGAACAGCAGGAAAAGTTCTGCCTGTGGACTGGGACACTGAAGGGTTGGACTGAATCAGGACCAGAAACCAGGTTTATAAGATGAGTCTTTATGAAGGCTGGTCTTTGTTCTACAGAGCGGRACCGTCCCATCCTGACACTGTCCCTCGTCCAACTGATCCAACAGGTTTTCACATCTATGGGGGGAGAAGGGCGTAGGAGCCTCCATGGGGGTGGGCAGCACTGCCGAGTCTCTTCCAAACTCTACGGTGGGGGGAGTCTCTGTGCTGGAAGTGTGGCTGGGGGACTCACCATTCCCCAGGCCCAGTCCATTCCCCCTGGGCTTGGCTTTGGCCCAGAAGACATCRCCACGAGCTCGCGGTGAAGGCCGAGGCCGAGCCAAAATATCCAAGGTTTTGGGGCGTTCCAGAGCACAGCGATGACGAGGTGTTGGGGGGAAGACTACATTTGGATCAGGGAGACGGGGAACCTCAGAATTGTCCTCTTTTAAAGTTCTGAAGACAGCTGCTGCAGGAAAACAAGAAAAAAAGGAGAAAAGAACCAATACGATAAAATGAAAATTGTTAGGACACAAATGTACTTTTTTGAGGATGGGAGGATGGTTGTGTTTCTCTTTTTTGTTCTCTGCTGCAGGCAATAAGGTTTTTGGCCTGTGTGTGTGTGTGTGTGTCTGTTAGCAAAATATTGTATGAACTATTTAATGAGTTTTAATGAACCTTTCAGAAAAAAGTAAATGGATGCACATCTACCAGTGATTAACTTTTGAGTAGCCATCCATCCATCCATTTTCTTCCGCCTATCCGGGGTCGGGTCGCGGGGGCAGCAGCTTCAGAAGGGAGGCCCAGACCTCCCTCTCCCCAGCCACTTCTTCCAGCTCCTCCGGGGGAACTCCAAGGCGTTCCCAGGCCAGCCGAGAGACATAGTCCCTCCAGCGTGTCCTGGGTCTTCCTCGGGGCCTCCTCCCGGTGGGACGTCCCCGGAATACCTCACCAGGGAGGTGTCCAGAAGGCATCCTTACCAGATGCCCGAGCCACCTCAACTGGCTCCTCTCGACGTGGAGGAGCAGCGGCTCTACTCTGAGTCCCTCCCGGATGACCGAGCTTCTCACCCTATCTCTAAGGGAGAGCCCAGCCACCCTGCGGACGAAACTCATTTCGGCCGCTTGTATCCGGGACCTCGTTCTTTCGGTCATGACCCAAAGCTCATGACCATAGATGAGGGTAGGAACGTAGATCGACCGGTAAATCGAGAGCTTCGCTTTCTGACTCAGCTCTCTCTTCACCACGACGGACCGGTACAGCGCCCGCTTTACAGCAGACGCTGCGCCAATCCGCCTGTCGATCTCCCGCTCCGTTCTTCCCCCATTCGTGAACAAGATCCCCAGATACTTAAACTCCTCCACTTGAGACAGGGCGACCCCCCTGACCCGGAGAAGGCACTCTGCCCTTTTCCGGGTCTTTTGAGTATTTATAATACAACTTCTGATCATGTCCTTGTTGTATTCTCACTGCTTGGCCAGATTAGAAATGTGGAAACCTTCCTAAAATAAGTTCCTAACTAATTTTTTCAAGTTCTTCAGAAAAAAAAAAACATCATCAAAAATTAACCAAATGGCATTTATTGTTTTTATTCATTTAAAAAAAGTGACTTCGACCACGGATGGGCAACAGGTGGTCCATGGACCACATCCAGCCCACAAGTGGCTTCCGTCCAGCCTGTGGGCTGGATCTAAGAGCTGCTTTGAGGGCTTTTTAAAGTACAATTTTTTTTCAGCTGGTGGCAATTGAGGTACACAATCTGTTCGTGGTACGGTGGCTTAGCTGGTAGAACTGATGCTTCGCAGCATGAAGGTCGCTGGATCAAATCCTGGCCCAGGGACCTTTCTGGGTAGAGTTTGCATGTTCTCTCTGTGCATGTGTGGGTTTACTCCAGGCATTCCAGTTTCCTCCCACAGACCAAAAATATGACTGTTAGGTTACTTGGTAAATTTAAATTGTCCCTAGGTGAGAGTGAGAAAGTGAATGGTTGTTTGTCTCAATGTGGCCTTGTTATGGACTTGTGACCTGTCCAGGGTGTACCCTGTCCAGTGATTGCTGGGGATGGGCACCAGACAGTGACCCCCGTGACCTTGAAAGGAAGAAGCGGGTATAACTGTTACACATGCACTTGAGAATGAAATGTTGAAGGGCCAATATCATGTAAAATCAACTTTTTTGAGCTTTAAATCRTGTGATAACGCCATCCTCTCATCAAAAACATACAGTGTTGCTTGGACTCATTCATGCATGTTTGTGAAATCCTGTAATGTCCTGAGACAGCCATTCAGGAGAACAAAAATGGCTGGTTGGCTCTAGAACTGCCTCTTAGGTGCAGCTCCTCTTCTGGGCTGTGTCTCTGAGCTGAGCTTCCCAGGGTTTCCTGCAGCGCATTTTGAGCCTGGCAGGCTGCCAGGCTTTACATGCTTCCCCGCCAGAGTTTAACATCGAGGGTGTCGGCACCATTGATATTTATTACTGGATTGGGCATGGCTAGCGCGTTGCTAGTTACTTGGACGTGCACACACTGGAGCTCTGTTATGCATTGAGGAGCCTCAACAAAATGAATGGATGTCAAATGACTGTGAGGTGTCATCCTGATGAAAAAGTCTTATAAAATTTTTATTTCTTGCTTGATTTTTACAAACTATGGTTCAAAATGAAGCTGAAGATATTGTGAATTTTATAATTATGGAAATTTAAAATAAATAACTTATTTTAATGACTAACAGTGGCTTAAAATAAATATTTTGCATTTCACAGGTGTTTTTTCAAGGCAATGAGTTCTGACCAACTGGATATTCATACATATTTATTATGCAGAACTGAGACTTAGATATTTAAAAATAATAAAATTAAAATGTGTGTGTGTGTGTAATTTGTGTGTACTTGAAAGATGAATTTTAATGTATAAATGTATATTAATTTACACTTGTACATAGTGCTCTCTCTTTATATACAGTATATATATATATATATGTATATATACTGTACATATCCAGCGGGTAAAATAAGTATTGAACACGTCACCATTT